CGAGTAACATTACACACACTCTAAACGGACAAAATCGAGATTAGTCAGAAAAGCAAACCTTCGTCCAATTCTGAAATAGTAGAAAAGCTGTACGAAAAGCGCTTAAAAATTTATCAGCTAGAAAAATGGACAAAAAATGGCAAACGAAAATTAAATAAAACAAATAATTAAGAATATGTAAAAGTGATAATACAATGCAAAAGGAAGACGTGATTTTTTATTTTTAAGCCCAAGAAGACAAATAAAAAAAATGGAAATACTAGAATAAGAAAATTGTTTGTACAGGAACCTTCAACTTCAATCATCATCATTGGAATATTCAAAGAGAAAAGACATAGATGGTTCATTAAATTAAAAGAAAATTGTGGAAATTCGTCGTTTTCAAAATGCTTTATGAAATTAAGTCCGGAGTAAACAAGATAAACTTGTGGCATTTGTATATGCCGAAAGTTGAGGTGTTCAAAGCTTCGGTTTGCTATTTATGTTTAAATTGCCTTACCTTCAAGAACATACTTGGAAAAATATTGATATCCCTGAAAACAGTTTAAAATTTATGTTTTGAGAAACATTATGGATTCGTGAAACTACAGGATGATTCCAAATTGGCGTCATTCCTCTGGCGGTGTTATCCGGGGGTATTTTGAGAGTATAGGAAAAATAGTTTAAAAAATTAATTGTTATTAAAATAAATAAGGCGGAAAATTTGAGATCTACATATGAAAAAAAATTATAATGATGAAACAATTGATTGAAATTGCGGCCGTTTCAACAATTTTCTAGTTTAAAAATATGTGCTTGAAAGAGTGTTATCCTACATGAGTATTGGTTACTTTTCCAATAGGTACACGTCTTACATCAAAAATATTTATTGTGAAATTTATGTATGTACGTAAATAGATTTTATAACCATTAAGTAAAGTTTTTTATCAAGTTTTTTGGATTTATAGCATCAATTATGTATAGCCAAATAGGACATAAATATTTTTGTTGCTTCTCAAACTTAGAACAAAAGAGATGGGTTCGTGTGGTTAAGATTTGCTTTTCATCTACAGAGAATTCCGTAGTAATAGGAAAACTAAATTATTCCAATGAGAATTCCAGATCGCAGATTTTACTCCATACAGAAGTTTCCATTTGAGAATTAAATCTACAAGAAGGGTGATTGTTTATTATTGTTTTGCTAGCGGGTTTGGATAGAAATTCGATTATTTTCTATTCAATCAATCAATCATCTTGAAGCATCTCCAGAAATAGTCAGAAATTTTCAAACTGAAATTAAATTGTGTTCTTGTTTATTATAAAATTAAAAATAAAAACCCTGTAAATTAGGTTTGATTTTTCAGGTTTAACCCAGAGCACTTGTGACATGCAAGGATTTCGTCATGTAACCGCTATGGCCGATTACGCTTTGAGGCTTAAAGAGCAGCTCCAAGATGTGAATGAACACTCGTTTAATAATTTCCGAATTCGAATTGGTATTAACGTTGGTCCAGTGGTAGCTGGTGTGATTGGAGCCAGAAAACCGCAGTACGACATATGGGGCAACGCCGTTAATGTTGCTTCCAGAATGGATAGTACTGGAGTATGTGATAAAATACAAGTAAGTTTAGTCGAAATATTACGTCTTTTAACGTTGTTTAATTGTGTAATATACGTTTTTGCAGGTAACGAAAGAGGTTTACCAGATTTTAAGTACAAAAGGTTTCGCACTTACTTGCAGAGGAACGATCGAGGTGAAAGGAAAAGGCTCGATGGAAACGTACTTTTTGGACGGCAAATATAAAGCACCGTCTACTCACATAACAGTGAATCCCCTGGCTGTCTCCCAATCTATGAATAGTTCTGTGTTAGGAACCATTTCAGAAAGGAATTAAAAGTTAGCATTTATTATTTAACTTCGATCGGATTCATTAAGAAACTTAATTACATTTTTGGGCTTTATGAAAATTGGGTGAAATTTGGGGAAACTTAATCAGAAGGACAACTTATAAATTGGTGTAGTTCAGATGAATTTATAAGTATGTTATTAGATGACGAATTGATTGCAATTTAAGGATCAAAGTTCTAAGTGAATCCGATTTTGGATATTTTGGCGGAGGTAGAATGTATTGTACATTTTGCAATTTAGTAATGGTGAATTGTTTTGCTACTCCAGTTGTTCCTCAGTTCAGTTGCTCCCAAATTGTTCCTCAAGAAGAAAGAGGGAAGAAACAATAGATTCAAAATGATTAAGTTCAATAGATGATGACCCTCAAACAACCAGATAATTTTTCTCCTGATGTACAAAATCAATCTTCCTAGGCACTTTTATTTTAATAACAAAAAATGTCATATGCCTTATAGATCCAATTCATTTTAGCACTTATATTAAAATACAGAATCTGTATTAATTGTAAGGAATGGCAAAACTGTGGGCAACAGTTAATATAAATTTAAATTCAGTTGAGAAAAGTTACAATGTTAGAGATCGCGACTATTTGCCAATAAAAAAATGCATTTAGTTGCAATTACAAAAAAAATTATAGGAAATGTCCTTTCTTTTCAGAATAAATTTAGTGTCTTTTTTTTATCAAAATTTCTCATAAACTGTTTCTCCTAGTCAAACTGATTTTGACAGAGAGAAAAAGAAGAAAACTTTAAGTGAATGAATCAAAAAGATGAAAATTTTAAGTCCAAATCTTAAAGTTCGTGTAACGGAAAGAGAAAAAACCACACAGTATTTTCGAGCCGATGGTCCATCGAAATGAATCCAAGACAAATATGTCTGGCAATACATAATAGCACTAAATTGGCTTTTGTACCTATCCAATACTTGTATTTATGGTTCTGCTTTATTCCTCTCATGTAGTCACCAACATGAAAATGCTCTATTTGAAACTGTAAAAGTAGTTATTTTGAGTTCTGATTGATCAGCGCCTTTAAAAGTACCGAAATATGAATTTTATATATATGTTATGCATAGCAAGTATTTCATACTTTTTCAAAAAATGGCAGACAAAATATTTTAGTCAAAGGTTTTGTTGGACTTAACAAGGCAATAAAGTAGTTAAAAATAAAATGTTGGGCTAAATATCAAATAGACGATGTAAATTAATGCAATATAAAATTGTAATCTCACATAGGTTACAGTGTATAGAGAATTAAAATGTGATGTGTTCGATGTATATTGGATCCTGAATCACATTTGACAGTAATGTTTTTTTTTTCAGGAAAAAATAGCATTATTATTTAACACTCCAGTTACCACAATAGTGCTTCTTATTGAATTTTAAGGACCAAAAACTGTTGAGGTATTTTACAGCTGTATATACCGAACATCATTGAATATTTTTGTGTTTTTGATAATCAATACCTACTTTTCTTATCGCCAACGGAAATATTATCAATACATATTTCGAAAAACCATGCCACATCTTGCTAACTTGTAACCATGCATATACCTCCATCAAAACATTTAACAATAAACGACGGCTTCTGAATGTAACAAAATGTCTGTGTAGTTACTCTGTAGTTAGTAGGTACTCTCTATGGCCTAATATTTCAACACTTCTGATAGTTCCCAAAGGTTGTGATTTGTGATGGAGTCTTATTGTTGTATAATTGTACTATACCAAATGAAAATTAAATATATTGAGAGCAAATGAAAATTAAGCATAAGATTTAAAATATGTGTGCAGCTTTGAAGTTCGTTATTTATTGCTCATTATATGGAAATTTATATGGTATAATTTAATTTAACTTTGAAGTATGACCGATAAGTTAAATTATACGAAAATATTTCAACTAATTAGTTTTTTAATAGTCCTCCGCAGGAATTGCGCAAGAGGTCAGTGTTTCGTATTTATTACCCTCGATTCCATCAAAGTCGATTCCATCAAATCAAACATATACAAACTCACTGTCCTGAGATATATTTTAGAAGATAAAATGTATGTAAAGTGTTATAGAAATGGAGCAAAAGATATCGGAATATCGTGATGGAATTTGTATAAAAAGAAAATAATCCTATATTTGTTCAAACTATTACTGGCGAAAATTATGCATAATTTCAACTTAACTTTGAAATTTAATCATTTATTTTAATGATTCATTCTGAAACCATAATACCAAACATAATTAAAATTCGAAACTTTTTCCTTTTAGGAAATTTATCTGTAGAATAGCAAGTAGATATAGTCCAACAGAAACATTTTCAAAATAGTACAAAACCAGAAGTTAAACTAAGTTAAATAATTTGTAAAACTTGTGTAAGCACGTCCAATATGTAAAACAATGCATTGTAGGTGAAACATTGTAAAATATAAAATACTGATTGTACAAGCCGTTGTTTACTTGTTAGCTTAAAATACTCTTGTACATATAAACTGTTTCTTAAAGTTTATTTTTATGTATAGAATGATTTTTTAATAAAATATGACGCATTATCAAGTTTAATTTAATGATGTTATTATAATCTATACCCGATTCAAACTTTAGAAAAATGGGAATATATCGGACTGGCCAAAACTGCGGAAATTGCAGATCGATGGTCTAATGGATTCGGATGCTGATTAATTTCGAGGCGCTACTTTTCTGAAAACGCAAAATCTGGATTTAGGCTTACTCTTAATATTTACGAAATTATTCGTGAATTCAATTAAACTTTTCTAGTCATTAGAAAGAGATCGTTGACGTTTGATTCAATTTTTTTGGTTTCCTTCCAAAGGACACATCCATTGGAGGTAAGTAAGTAAGCCACCATAGAAACTTTACGAAATTTTTCTACAAAAGAAATGTTTTGAACCAAATTACATGACTTTAATATGTAATTTTTTTATTTTTTATTTTAATACGTAATTTTCTCATTTTTCTGGGGGTTTTGTATCTGTGTACTTTCTTATTCAGTTGATATTTTTTACAAATCATCTATAACAAGAACATTTCGTTGAATCCTGCGTTTCAGAAAATTAGTACGCAAATAAGGTTCCAATATTTTAAATTTTGAGTAAGCTTGCTCAATAAATAAATTATACTCGCGTTAGAGGCAATCAATTAATTTTATGAAACATTAGATTTAGATTTGCCATTGCAAAAAATATTTAATACTATTATTAAGTTAATTATATTACTTCTTTCAAGAGTATTTATTAAGAAATATTCGGAGACAGAACGTATCCGGAGTAATGCCATTTATTTCGACAAAATCTAAAATGAATGCTAGAAAACACAAAATTTGATTTTTATTTATAATTTTTTATAATTTCAGATGCTGCATACTTCTTACTAACTAACTACGGAATCATCTTCCCAGTCTCCAAAATTAAATATAGTTTAAATGAGGTCTTAATATCTTTCGCATGAATCAGGGAGTAAAAACTTAACTTTTGGTTTTCATTATTACTTTCATTTTTACATTTGTGTTGAGTAATAATAATTATATTTTACCTTTGAAACAAAAATATAAAAAACAGGACTTTTAGTGCAAGAATCTGGTGGATGACAAAAGGCAAAATCCTCTTGCCAGATACTTCAAAAAATTAATATTCCAGGACTTATAACTGTGATCGTTGATTCGGTTATATTATTTACCAAATTAACAAGCTTAGTATCTTCAACTAGAGTTGAAAAACTTATAATATAAATTATTTTATTATGAAATCTAAATGAAAATCTACAGCTTTAATAATTTTTGCCACTGAAGAATGGGCTTTTCTACTTCAAATCGAGTCAAGTAGCAAAACAAGAATTTCATCAGATGCGATTGCTCCTTTTCATATGTTTTATACAAATGCATCTTGCCTTATATAATAATATAGAGTTCCACATCATTTTACATGTTTAGACAAGATACAAAACTATATTTACACAAAACGGGTGAATAGTAAATTAAATAAGGATTTTTGTCTGAAAGCGTAATATGACAAACTCGTATAATAAAATAATTGCAGATGTCGGTAATATATATTTATTCAAAAAATTTGATGTTAAATTTATTCCTTAAACATTAGATTGAAAATAAGGTTTAAAAATAAAGGAAAATAATAAAGTTTCCAAAACTTATTATTTGTTTATTAAGATAACAATAATTTTTCAAGAAATGCTTTTGAAAGATTCAACTTAGCTCTTTTAAACAATTTAAAATTCGGAGTAACGGATTTAAGGTGCATGTCGCATAAAAAAGACCATGTGGAAATTTAGTCAAATAGTTTACAATCACTACTGGCCAATTGCTTTCCTAGTGGCTTCAAAAGCAAAATATGATAGTAGTTCCGTTATACCAAAGCAACAAAACATTTCAGCAGACAAAACATTATTGATCTCCTTAGTATATTTTCAACAAAGACAGAAAATATTCATACTTTTTCATATTCCATTTGTGTACTGATTAGCAACAAATAGGAAATGTTTTGAAAGACACATACCAACCCTTGGAACCAAGTCCACACTAAGACGAAAACATTATTATGCAATTCGGCAATGCCTCAATAAATTCAGATTAGATATAAATCAACAAATATTTGTCGTTTGTATAGTTATCGTTCTCAAAGTATTCTCGAATTTTGCAAGAGAATTGCTTGTCCTTATTTATTATTTATTTCAACTTAGCAATTAGCCCAACCAACAACAAGATATCTTCTTAATTAATGATGTATTAGATGAAATTCATAACATTGAAGACACTTACCAGTTGATTGGCTTATATTAGTATAACACTGTTTTCTTCAAGTCGTTCGATTTTTGCTTGCCTGCGCAATTTGAAATTAGTAAATAAATGCATTCAAAACACAATTTGCAAATGAGTATTTTTATCTCGATTTAGACACAAATATTTGTAAAATATAAATATTATACAATGGTTTAAACGATATCAATTAATTGGTCTGATACAATATTGAGATGATGAAAATTCCTAGAACCAAAAGTAAATGCAATAATTGGCCGCATTACTGTAGATTAGTTACTAGAATTTACTAGAGACATACGTGGATACCAAAGGAAAAATGAGTTTGTTAAGTTCAGATTAATCTTAATTTTATTACTGAGACCGTTATTTAAAAATATATCGGACACGAATTGAAGGGTCCAATGCAATAACCGACCAAGTCCAGTCTCGTTAATTTTTCAGGAAACAAAATAAACTATTTATTTATAAGCGAAGCGATTTAAAAGTAAAAAACTAAAATACGCTGTACATTTATGATCATATAAGCAACCATATTACGTTCACCATTATTTATATGCTGAATATTTTGGGATTTAGTTGGTTCTTGTACAGTTTTTGCAGTTTTTGTTTGTTCTTTCCTGGGATCAAGTAATAAGTCCAACACTACCGGGTCGAAATTTTTTATTAATTGAATACATTGTGATTGAATATAAACTAAACATACAGCTTGAGTGAGACAGGCTAATTTTTATTCATCGCAGCTGAATTCTGACACAGCAGAATCAACAGGAGGCTCTACGTTAAGAGTTATGGCATTCCTCGGTCTGGTTGTAAAGCCGTAGGTCACACTGAGGCACATGGTTTTTTGCTAAACTTTTTGCTAAACATGATGCAATTTGTTCTTCTTAAGTAGCCTTCTTGCATTATCTAACGTTGTCTCAAGATCGGACAGCGACACCGATTGTATAACTTTCTTATTTTTTATATTAAACCTTCTGCTCCCCAACCAACCGATATTATTGTATTTTGATACAATAATATGCGAAAGGTATGCGATAATTTTGACACAGTAAATTAATTAATTTACGTTGCGGGGTTTTTATTTAAAATCTTTCTAAGCAAGTTTTACAGTATAAAAAAATATAATAAATATATAAACAATATATAAAACCAAACTGAACGAAATAAAACACGAAAACCAACGCAAAAGACGCGAAAACACACGATCATGCATCGCAATCTACCACCTGAACATCCACTGTAATACTTAGTCGGTTATAGCATTGGTTCCTTTAATTCGTAGACAAAAAAACCAGCTGGACATTCAAAATGAAAATCAGTAATTTTCTGGTTTTCAAAGAAAATGTATTTGCCATAAATGTATGCAAGCTACTTTTGCCAATTTTTTCTCAAGTATAAACTTGGCCAATCAATACAGCGTATAAAATCATTCAGTTCACATAGCAACATCATTGTTGAATCAATGTAACCTGCTTTTTCTGTTGTCAGAATATAATTTAAAAGTCGTGTATTATCCATTCAGCATGACAACTTTCGATGATTTGCAAAAAATCGATCAAGTGGAGTCCTACTCTTACAGAAACTGTGGGAAAGAGTCTCTTTTAGCGAAATATAGTATTCCTCTACAGCATCTCGACTTTAAGTATGTAGCAACAACTAAGGACGCCAACGAATTAGAAAAAATGGTAGAGATTTTAAGATCAGGACAAGAGGGGCATTATCCGGAATTATTAAGGTAAAGTTTACCAAATGCGTAGCGATAAGTAAAAGAAGAAATTGGCTTCTTTAATACCATTAACATCATAAAACCAACCCAATGCTCATTGTTAAAAGATCAAAAGTATTTATTGAAAAATATGTAGGTATTAGATAATTAATATTTTCGCTGGTTCTGATTCTTCATTCTGATTATATTTTCTTTTTTATTTCAATTGGTTATCATTTCTTCTACTCAGCCACACACTACACTACACTTTGCAAAGATTTATTAAACAATGTTTTAAGCATGAAATGTTTAGTGAAAATTATATTTTTAATCAAGATCAACAGAAGATCATTTGAGAATACTAAAGCCGAATAGCAGACTCCTGAGACAAACATCGCGAGTGTTAAGCAAACAGGATCTAAAACAAGAAGAAATTGACGAAATCGCCAATGAGCTACAGAAATTTGTAACCGAAATTTCTAGAAGTAGTAAATCTTTGGAGGAGAGTAGACCTGAGAAAATCAGGTAAATCAGATGTTGCTAGCTAATTAGTCTGTTCACTTAAAAAAAACAACAAGTTTCTAATATATGCAAAAATAATGACAAACTTTAAATGTTAAAAACACCTTAAATCATTGCACTCGTCAAACAAAACGAATTCCCGTAGAATAGCCGAAAAATCAAATAAACACTACTTTCTTGTGCCTACTGCTAACTCAAGCAAGCTGTTTCAAGCCCGGAAGCCATCACTAGTATATAAAATGTAATTAAACAAGTTGTTATCTGACTTAAAAAGCTTGCAAATATTTTAAGATGCGACGTGAAAGTCCGTCAATACGAACCGCAACCAGAACCATTAAATCTTGTGAAGAATGAAAAGCGAATTGCAGCCACTGATTATCAGGCTTGGGACAAGTATGATCCAGATGTTGAACTGTTGAAACAGGAACTGGAGCAAGATAAAATACGCAAACAAGCTGAAAAGGCCCAGCAAGCAGTCGAGAAAGTAAACGAAGAAGCTGAAAAATATGTGTATGCAGGCACCAGCTGCCAGCCGACCAATCAGTTTGTTATGAGCAGTCTCAGCAGTAAACAGAAGAAAAAACTTAAAAAAACTGTAAGATGTATTAACCACAAACTTTGACAAAAATTTAAAACAAGAAGTTTTATTCTAGGTATGTTTTAACCAGTATCCTACCGAAGCTGAGGCCATTTACCATTCGAACAGAGAACTAGAAAAGGGCCGCGAATTCTTCAAAAGTGCTGATTATGAACTGGCCCTCAAATGCTTCACCAGCAGCATCATGAGCAAATCTACTGCCATCAACTTGAATAATCGAGCCCTCACTTACTTAAAACTGAAGAGATTTGAGGAAGCTTTGAGAGATGTGGAGAAAGTTCTAACGATGGATGGGAAGAACTTGAAGGCCTTGCTAAGGAAAGCACAATCTTTAGAAGGTAACTTCGAGTTATTAACAACGGTTTTAGTTTAGTAGCAAATAGTTGATAGTTTAGAAAAATGCATACACTTACCTACTATTTTTTGGGAATGGTAATAAAAAATGTTAACAAAAAATCGTATTTAAGATAATTATAAAGCAAGTATGAATTTACTAAAATTCAAATAACAGATCAGGAAGTAGACATTTAACTGAGATTCGTTCTTTCTACGTCTCAACCTTGAGAGCTTTTGGTAACAACAAACATGCATATTTGAAAAATAATACAAAAATTGAACCTATATAATGAGAAAAGTACAAGAAAGTGATGAGCAACGAGGAATATATTGTTAGCACTTTAAAACAAGGAAGCTGAAACACCTGAATTTGAATCATCTGAAATACTAAGGATTGTGATCTTTACTTATTCAATAGAGGAACTAATTAAGTATGGAAATTTTATTTTCAATGTTATTAATGCGCGTTTGTTCAAATGTTTTATATTTCGAAGTTAAACACAATTCAAAACGTGCTCAGTACAAAGAAAAAGTCTTTGATTGGCCGAGGTTTGCGTAATATCGTATAAAGTGAAACACATTGTCTGTAGCAAACTGAATACCAGACCAAATACTGAATACTCATTTCCTCTAGATGTATCTAAGTATATATATTTATAGCTACATATTTAGTAGAAATGAAATAACTTGCCATTGTTGTAGAATGTTGCGTGATTAATAGCTGATATAATGATGATTTATGTAATAATTTGCAGGTCTCAAAAAATACGAAGAAGCTTTAGATTGTGTGGACTTAGTAATTGAAAGGGATCCAAACAACCACATTGCTCAGGAGCTCGCAGAAAGAGTGAGACAATTTTGCAGAAACATGTTGAAGAACACAAGAATGAAAATAGTTGAAATTCAATAAGTGCATTCGATTGACATGATTGGTTGAATATCCCAGAAGAGTTTATAGGTTTAGTTCATTTAATTATCTATGAATAAAATACACTTAACATGGGTTACGAGTAAATGTTCAGGTGCTTTTAATATTTTAATAAGCACTAAAAGGATTTTTTTTGTATCAAAAAGTCTTCAACTTTTAATCAAACTATCATTTTATGGAGAGCTCCTAGAAGAAACCTTTTTTACGACCCTCAGTTTTTATTACACTGGATAAAAAATATAACTTTGATTTACAAGTTAAAATATTCAGGTTAAAACTCTTTAGAAAGCTGAGATTGTATTATCCAGTGACCTGTAAACACCTGCTTCTTGTAAAATTTTATACATGTGTGTGTTCAAATATAAAAGGGAAAAGTCAAGTAGGGACCGGTCTGGATTATTGAGAACATTCGCTGGGACAGATAGTATTAATATATTTGCGAAACCTTTCCAATAAGGCACATTCAACTGTGACTTGTATTGTTTTCGAACTTGTATTATATTTTCCAACATTTATTGAAATCTATATCTAATGTCTGTATGTCTTCTTTAGAACATTAAAGTAAAGAAATCAGTATCGACAGAAAAGAGGTAAGTTGAATCTGTAATTCTAATTCAATCAGCTGCTAAAAGGACTATACAGTTTCGTAAGTTCAGTATACTTAATTTTCGATAGATGTGGAAACGTATGAGAATATGAAAAAAATGGAGTGAGTTTCAGTCAAAGAGCAATCACGACGCAATTATTGGAACTGGTATAAACGATACAAAAATATTGAAATTTAATATTTACCAACGACCTATACGTGTTATTCGTGTTCAAAAATCGTTGCAAATTAAGAAATTAAATTAAGAAAATTTAGTGAAAACATGGATTTTTAATTACTCATAATTTACAAAATATTTCGGATACCTTAACAACCGCTCTGCATTGAAAGCTACGTTTCAGAGATTCAGCTTTCCTTTTACTGTTCTCTCATATTTTGTTAATGATGGTCATATTTTAAACCTGATTTATACGGACTTCTCTTTGAAGCGTGTTTTGTGAGTTTTCAATGTGCATGCATGAAATGCTCAGAAATAGTATTAATTCCTCTTCACACATTCCAATTCTATTCAAATTGAATAAAACCACTCCTCTGGCATATGTCGCATACCTACTTTTTATATATCAAAATAAATGTATGCGTTATCTAAATCGTACTATCGGGTTTTAAGGAAAAATTAATCCTCAGCATCTGTACCGGGTACCGGCTGCTTCAGTAAAAACTTCAGATAAAAAAATAAGTCTCACATCTGTCCCTATTCTTTTGTGCGTGGTACAAACTTGTTTTCCTCCGACACACCGAGGGATGAAAGTGGGTGGCTGAAAAGCCAAGGTGGATCGACATCCTAAAAAGCAGATGCGACCTACCTTGTACCTTTGTGTACTCCTATGTACCCCTACCTGACCTAAACTTATTATAAGTGTCTTTAAAAATATATGTGTTTGAATTACATATATGCAAATGACTTTTGAGACGGCTAAAACGAATGTACGGCAAGACAAGGTGTTTTCGATGCAAAAAATTGAAATATTTTACAAGAGTGTCTTAGCAATCAGAAAGTCCTTAGAAACGGGGCACCAAAAAAAAACTGTTTAACTGAAAACTCTTAAACGGTTTAAAACAAAATGGATGGTCAGAAGTGTAAACGAATGAGAGACGACAAAAGTAAAGTGTTTGCCAATTTAGTTATTTTTTGTAATTTCAGCTCAATAACGTAAAATCTAAATATATTTTCGAATAAAAAATATAGTCGGTCTGCAATGTAATATTTTAGGCACAATATGAAAGTCTGCGTATTCTAAAGAAAAAGTTCCAATTTAGAGTTATTTGGTGTTATATGGTTAGCGATTATACAAGTAAATTCAGATCATATTTTACCACCTGATAAAAGCTTAATTGGAATAGCAAGATTTAAATTTGCAAATCAAATACTCGCGAACGATGCGTTCTATCGTCCTTCAAATTACATGGAATAGATTATTTTCATTAATTAAGAAGTGCATATTTACCTTTTCTTACTATCACTTTGCCGGCAAAATGTTTTAAATTATGATCTTATGCACACATGTTCTTGACGAGTATAAATTCCATATAAAATTGGGAAATTTAAATACGTGAATTAATGAAGTATGCCTGATTCTTGATGTTTTCACATTAATCCAGAATTACGTTGTTATCAAAGTATTGAAAGAAATGCTCAGACAAAGAATGCTTTTAAAACGTGAAACTATTGGAAAGATCAACATAAACAGTGATTTTGTAATGATCTCCAAACAAATCTATCCATATATTGCATATTATAAAACACTATTACACTGTACAATCCAAATGCCAACAATGCTTCGAAGAGTTATTGTAGAAAAAAAAATATTTAATTAAATGCACCAAAATAGCGAGTTCACTTTAGTTGAAAAACTGCCAGTCACAGATTTCAGGAGCAATTTTGCTTTGAGTCATCCGTGTAAAATGTTACCGCTGCAATGCAAAAAAAAAGTTGATTTTTTTAAACTAGCCTATAATTAGAAAAGATGGCTGAAAAATTCAAAAACTGTTTCGAGCTATTTAGTTTATTTGTACTCTTTAGGTGTTGAGATCAAGAAAACTTAATTTTTCTTCAATTTCAAGGGGCATATCGAACTTTGCTTTTTTTCATTTGCGGCCCTGTAGAAAAAATTCCGAGATGCCTAATTTTTATTATTTTAGAACACTGGCTAATAAAAACACATTAAGCTAGATAAAGCTTCAAATGAAAACCAAATTGCTCGAAACAATTAGAATTTATCCATTTCCAAAGTTGGAGCAAATTTCACTGTGCAGCGTTCCATTTGTTGAGCAGCTTAGATCAACTTCAAATAAAATATAAAATCATTAAAAAATGGAGAGTTTTGAAAACTTTAATATATAATAATAATAATAATAAATATGTTTTGTCCTTTAGATGGTTAAACACTTTGAAAACCTTCGAACGTATATTAAAAACCGATTGAATTGTTCAAATTAAAAATAATTGAACGCCAATAAATGCCTGCATTTTTCAACCTTCCTTTCAGCAAAGCGACAAAAGACTCGGATAATAAAAAAGCAACAAAAAAGATCAAAGCTATTTAGCTAATTCACTATAAGTGCTGAAAAATGCTTGCTGAAGACCACCATCAGTTTCATTATGAGTAGGAAGACTACTCCAGTAGCTGCAATTGTAGCAAACGCTTTCATACGAACAAGATGGTTTAAAAATTTATTACACATGAGTTGGGAATAAAATTGAAGAAGGTGAAGATCAAAGCGATTAAGCCACTGCTCCACCCCTACCAATCAAATGTATCATTTTAGCACAATATACCGCATGTGCAAGAATTTCTAGACAAGAATAGGGTTACTTTCCGTCCTATGTATAATCGCATCTTCAGATTGAACAGTGCGAAGGTTCATAAGCCTTGTTCTATGGGTTCATGCAAGCCGATTTCTGTGAAGAATTGGACCATATTCCAAGCAATTCATTTATTTGAAAATAATCTTCGCGGAAGTTGCTTGCTTTATTGGCATTATTAAAACAAAGTCTTCTTAGAGTTTTTTTTTATTTATGGAAATTTGTTTTACAACTTTTTGTTCCACAAATTTCATTACGTTTTAAGTTGATTGATTATATCTCGAAAGATGGTGCACGTTTATTCAAAAGCACCCTGTAAATTAAATCTAAGCTTAAGTAATAAGGCACAGCTTTGCGATTTAGCGAGTGATAAAAAGCACTTTTTCACTATTTTTAACCAGTGTCATCATTATTTTGAACTATTAACCTGCACCTTCGATTAAATGACTTTGTATACTCGTTTGTTTACATTTGCTTTTTATTCATAAATGCAAAGTTTTACAAATTAGCCGACCGATTATCACGTAATGAAACTGTGACGATTTTGAAATATCACTCGACTTCGGTTACATGCTTCCATTATGATAACATTATCCCGGATCATAAATTTCATTTCAATACGTGCAAAAGATTCATTACTGTTTCTTTTTGAGTTTCTATCTGTTCACCATGCTATTTCTGAGTTTGCCACTAATTCAAGCACATATGAGATTATAATTACAAATTGTTTGCGTCTTATTTAGTTAGTTGTTTTTCGCAAATTTTTGAGCAACATTATTTCGAACGCTGATAAATTCTTGGTAAACAAGAATCGCATGAAGAACGAATAAAATATTTAACAACCCAGACCGTTCAAAGTTAAGAATAGAGAAATGCTATGCGGCAGTATTAATCAATCGATTTCGCAACAATCAATATACAATGATTAGATACATATCTAACACAGATAGGGTCATTTCACAACTTATCCATTTACAGAGACAATTTCCCTATTGCAGATAAGCGGTCGCCCGTACGTAACGCAATAGAATCAAAACTGAAAAAAAATCGAAACCGGTAAATTTCTAATGGTTTAGCCGTTCCAATTTTGCAATATGCAGAACCGTTGAAAAATTAGACGGCAGAAAGTGCCGGAGAATAGTGCGAGATTTTCGTACTGGTTGGTAAACACGGTGCCCGCTTTCTCCAAAGTTCACTCACCGAAGAAGAAATTGTTGACCTACCGCAATAGTCGACTGATTTTGTAGTTTTTAATCGACTAGGAACGGTAACTCTACTTTACAAAAAAGATCGTTTGTTTTGGTCCAATGAGCTGATGTTATGATTCCCATTACTGGTATTGTTGACCGTACAGATCTCATCCTCTCCAAACCCGCATGAAATTGCCCATTTACTGCTCAAGCAATGGAAATTGATCAATATGAATCTTAATAAATATTGTTCATGTTTTAACATCTAACATTTCCCAGTAGGCTGATCAATTATACATATTTATACGATGGGGAATGATATCATTTAGAAAATATGCTTATTGTATGAAAGAACATTATTTTAACCTGTTTTACACATTATTGTGTTCCAAGTCTCGACTGCTCATTAAACATGAATCCCTTTGATTCAGTTTGTACTTTTACGTACAAAGTCGGTAATTTTCGCAATAGGCTATAAAATGTACCTTTCGCAGTCTTCTCAATGCGATAGAGCAGTTAAAAACTTCCCCGTGACCTAACAGGACTACGTCAGGTTTCATTAAAAAATAGACAATAAGATTCAAAACAATGGAGAAATAGAACAAAAGACTATACCTGCACGGAGCACGCTAAGCAAATTGAATTGGTGCAAAATCTGTAGTTTGCAGAATTGGGGAGAAGTTTGGCAACAGCGCCGAACATCCCAACAATTCCTTCACTGAACAACGCCAATGTCGCCAATTCTCGGTAGAGTCAGACGGACCATGGCTTCGAATGTGTTCGTATGTTCGTTTCTTCTTTAGGAAGTCAGTCCATGGCTGTGATTTGTTGCTCGTTTGTTTCGTGTTAGAATATTCGCTTCGAATTATTGTGTTGTTCGCCGCGCGTATTCGACTCGTCGGTAGTTGATTGTGCTAATTCGTGTGCTACGTGATCCAGGATAATTTGGATTATTTTCACAGATTCGCACCGAATCCTCCAAATAAAATTCAAGGTGAGTGTATACGCAATGTCACCAATAATGGTTCTTTTTGACCTTTCCAATAATTGTGTCGCAATTTTCGCAAGGCTTTCGTTCACCACGTTTAAGGTGCTTTCAAGGTAATTAGATCTGACCAATTTGGAGGTTTTCTTTCAATGTTCAACTCAATTTTCGACCTCACTTTATCCGTCTGAAACTGCCCAAGATGCAACACAATTAAGATTCACTTTGTTGACAATTGATGACAACAACTCGGTTACTATGGCAACGCCAATGATTGGTACTGAACAATCGAACATAATTCGAAATGCTATTCGTTTATTGATCGGTATTTTGATTTGTTTTTATAATAATTTTGCTAATTGACTGTTTAGTGATTTTATTCGTATTTTTCATAAATGTGTAGGCCATAAACCAGTACCACACTACAATAGCATATTGGTGGTTAATGTTTTTTTCAATCTATTATTTCATTTTTTTACTGTTATACTTTTAGATATTAATTATTATTTATTTATTTATTTAAGGACTTTATTATAATTATTCTGCCTGTTTACTAATAAATTGTATGAATTTCACAATTGATTTTCTCTTTTGTTTCGCTGTTTTTGCATTATTCGATTTTTTTTTTCAATATATAGATTTACGAAAACTATAAATAATATCTCTCGAATATGCTGAATGAACATCAAGTCAACACGTTTCTGTATCCTTAAACCAAACTAGATTTTCATTAAAATTAAAAAAGAAGAAATTCGGTACTTGAAAATTATTTTTACGGTAACGTACAGTGGTTTTTGTTATCTCTCTGTTTATAATGTTATCCCAATATTCGATTTTAAAAAAATCGACCCTCGACTCATAAGTATTGTTTCAAAACAATGGACGATATTTTCATTAATTTATTGTAATTTGTATCATTGAATTTGCTCTCTTTTTACGAATGCACAAATAAATTAGCTGTCGAGATTAGCACATACCTATTTCATACAGGATTTCTGAATTTCTCATTAAGTAAGTACATGCGAATTGTGATATTAGCAAAACAAATTTTGTGACAAAATATTGTTGTTACAAAAGTATCTAGATAACCGAGATACCGACATTTTTAGCTTTTGGCGTACTAGTTTACAAAACCATTGACAATTTAAAGTTTTGTTATCATTTTAATTTGTTCCACTTTTATAAGTAGTACTTAGTAAGTAATTTTTTACCCCACTTTTTGTCCGTCTTATCCCATTTAAAAGGCAATTTGTAATTTTGTTAAATGACACTTCTTGTAAATTAAAAGCGCACTAGTTTTGTTTTTATTTATTAGATTTTGCCTGTACTTATTACTCCTTTTGTCATGATCGTTCATTTTGTCTTGGGTTTTAATTCTTGTTTCCATAGCTATTAGTAATAAGTAGTTAATACATAAAATAGTGTAAGTTCTTGAGGGCTTTTTATGCACTACAGAAAGTACTTTTAGTAATTTAGTAGTAAAATGTATCTCTATTAAACCTGAGGTTCATATTGGCAAAACAATTTACATTAGGTAACAATTGCTTGATTTTGCCTAGCAGAAGATTCCCTCGATAACTTGAACTGATAACTATAACGCACTTCATACCTTAATCCATAAAAATAATTTAATAAAACCAGAAACGGAATTTTTTTAAATGAATACCGCAAATCATGTTACTAGTGAGAGTCATCAATGTGAATGTTTTGGAATTTAACATTGTTTGAATCGAATTCACAGCCGGATAATATAACTGAATATGTACATACATATAGATGATGCAAATGCAAATTATCGTCGCCCGTTTTTATTAGTAATACAGCTCATGTCATCAATATTTTTTAATTCGCATTTTTGCCCAAATTAAGATAAGCCTTAATTCATTTATCCTATCTTCATAATTTTTATTAATCAACTTATTATGATATGTGCATATCTTGTCAATTAGTATTTATTATTTTTTATCAATGAATGAGATTAATGCTGTGTACGCTATTTTTTGAAAACCGTAAACAGGAGTATTTCGCAAACTTCTTATACATAAGGTGCACTATAAAAATATAGGTGTGTTTCTAAAAATGTGGCCAAAATCACTTGACTCAACTTGTTTTATTAACGGAAACACTAACTCAAGAAGCAAATCACTTGCAGGAATTCCAAGAATATGTTTTTCAGTTTGGGCACCAATGAATTCACAACTCACTAAAGTACAAACTCTTCAAATATAATTTATTTGTTGTTTGTTTGTTCTTGCTCTTAAGGCTCATCAACTATATCATCAAGGCTGAATTTTCTCACGATACTGATCCGTAGTGTGTGATCCACTGGTGTGAATCAAACTCTTATGCATCCCGCAGAGGAAAGTCGCATGGAATAAAGTCCGGTGACTGGCGCGGCCATAAATTTTGTCTTATTTTACCCTATCCATCTGTCAGCTAAGTGAGTATTTAAGTGACGTCAAATGAAACTGTTAAAATGTGGTTGAGCATCATTAGTTAAGAACCGTATTTTTTGCCACATGGTTAAGAGAACATCTAACTGTGCTCTGCAGAATTATTTTGTGGAAAAGTCGGCTACTTTGGACTTAGCATTCCTGTGCTGGAAAGAAGGAAATCGTAAAAGATAAAAATCTGAATTTAAGTGAATTGTTTTCAAAGGACATAGCTTAAAAATGACTGTAGCCAATTTCCGTTATTTTGATTCAACATTTTTGTTAAACAATCCGTTTTTCTGTTTAAATCTAAACTCTGCAAAATTGTTTTCCAATGTGTGGAAACGCTTTGATAATATTAGCTTAACGATGAATCATTGGTACCTGTATATTTTCTTGTGTATGGCATTTTCCTTTTATTACAAACGGAGCTCATTAGGCCTTCTTATGGTTTTCCTTGTAAAAATTCACCAGTCCTTTAATTATTTGTCTATTTTATGCTATTTTAAGTAATCGTTTTTGGGGAAAGTATTTGCCTAATCCCTAATCTATTCCGACAAATTGCTATTTCTATTTTTTCGAAGATACCATACCGAGGTCAATGTATTGTTGCGCAAAAATAAACAATATAGAATAGGAATATCCTTTGTTTTGTGTTGACAAATTGATGATTAGTCATTGTGAATTTACTATTCCAGATACAAGACACGTCATTAGAGAACTTCACAGACTACCCATCACTGATTACACTTTTATCACAGCACAGTTGTTGGACAGTGATTAGACAGACATCATGTCCAATATACAGAACCAGCCCGAAGTGAGGGCTCAAAACGCGGACAAGTTCAATACTGCAATGATCACGGTCACTCCTCGACATAACACAGTGGCCACACCAATCGTGGACACTGTGATACGGAAAATTCGAATATCCAACAACAACTGTGATATGCGCCCACCAAAGGTTAACGGGGATACTGCCGGAAAACCCACCCAACATGGGACTGTGATAAATGGGCCAAGCTGTGATAATGAGAATATGGAAAGTGCTCTGATTGCTGACAAATATCAGTTATTCGAACAGGTCATCGGCAGTTCCTTGTATCGGTGCGTTGATGTCAACAGCAAGCAGGAGTTGGTTTGTAAGGTAAGTTACTTTCAGGGATTTTTCCATTTCTTTTCAGATTTGTGTAACGATTAGTATGGCCCGGGTGTAGTAAACTTGAATAACGTATTAAAATACATTACTTAAATACATATATACAAACTTTAGTGAAATTAAACTGTTTATTAGTACAGCTCAAAAATCGTCCTAAGGTTGTGGGTTGACAGTATACTGTCTGATTATAATCAGATATTCTAATTTGCACTAGTCTAGGACACGCTTAACTTCAAAGTTTAATTATAAATTTACCAAGTTTATTATGAGTTCACTAAAGACGAAATATTTCCATTAACGGTATATAAATTTGGTTAATAAATAGGGCGGAAATTCATTACAAAAGGATCGATTAAACCCGGTTTAAAGTTGTGTTAGTCTTATAGGGGAAAATAACCAAACTTCAGTTAATAAATATTCGGCTAATCTACCTTGTAGATTTATCCCAGTGATTGAACAACATTGACGCGAAAAATGCGGAGGTGGCATCTCTTTGACAAACAGTTTATTTACTTTGATTATTTGCGATCCTAATTAGGACACCCATTCAACCACACACGAGGATGATTACATATCCAAATACTTCTCAATGAATTATTTGGCCATTGCAACAAAAATCTCCTCAAATCTCGTTTTAGCAGCTAAACAAATACCCAGTTTATAGCTGTTGGTTTTGAAGATGTGGGATTTTTTTATAATTTGTGTTTAATGCCAATTTGGTAATTTACGTGCCATTATGCTAAGAATTTAGAAATTTACTTTTTGATCTTAATCTTAAAACCTTTTATGAATCGACGTTATTAATTTTGCGTTTATTATCTTTTAATCTCGCTTCTAAAATGATGCTGTTGTTCAATTTGCTGATCAATCGACTAATATTTAAGCGGTTTTGGATTATAGTTCTTCACAAAGTACTTTCCTACTAGAAAAATATGCAATCAAATCAAAGAAACCCCAATTTTGAAACCCTGTAAACTTGGAACAAAAATTACTTTTCTAAATGGTAATAGAATACAATTATATTTTAAAAGCTGTAGAATGCACATTTTTGTCTAGCGGTCAAGTCGAAACGTGCGGATGAACAAACCATTTTTATCTCTAACGTGCAAAACACAAATTTTTTATTCTGTTTTTCGAAACAATCGGTTGCCCCTTACCCGAAACACTGTTTCAATTTATATTAAGAGTCTTTGAACTTAATTTAAGTGTTATTCTGTTTCTGAAACAATACATCTCCTATTGGCAACGCTGTAAAACAATTCTAGACTACGTCAGTCTTTCGGCCATTTTAAAGCATGCGCAAATCGTATAATGTTTGCTGTGAAATGCGGCATCACTGCTTTTAGGGATTGAAAATCTGGCCTTGAAAAGGATGGCAAGTTATATGTTGTAGAAATACGATCGTTTTAAAATCAGGCTGGTAGGGGGCTTTAATGTAATTTTACAAAGTAGGTAATTCATGTTTGGATAGCAAAATATGAGTGTGAGGATGAAATCTTCAAATCTGCAAAATTTGCGCTCATCAAAAACAGGCGGTTTTATCAAGCTTCATAGAAACAGCTTCATTCTAGTTACCTAAATTGAACTATGAGTTATTTTACTTGAATAAAACATTTTAAATGTCGGATAGAAATTTGAAAAGGCAATTACGTAGACCCGAAAATTACAGTACATTTATTCTAACTTTCCTAAGTTTCTCCAATCTTGGAAAATTTAAGCACCTATATAATTATATTTTGACTCATTTTGATAGCCGCAAAATATATGAAATATTTTTTTAGAAATTCAATATTGTATGCATATTTTGTTGATAGTACACTATTTACTTAATGATGTTATAATCATTTTTCTACCGAATAATGTTATATTATCGTATATGTTTATTATCATAAAACATTGTTCAATCTGAATGTTAAAATATACAAAACCATTATTTAATACGATGTCTTATGTTAACCTTCCCATTATCGATAAAATATGAATATCCTTCCTGCAAGTTCTTTGCACATATATAAAACCTTGAAATTTTAGCCATGACTCAAGTTTACACAACTTTCGYRATRTTTTGCTAATAAAAACTAAAGGTGAATTTAGTAAAATAGTTTGATTATTTTACTTATTACTTATTAGTAAAATARTATGATAAATTTGATCTTTCAAACAGATGAGACCCCATTATCTTACATTTAACTGCTTTTTTTGTTCATTTCTGCACACAGCAAATGAAGAAACTTTTTCATTTTCATTAATTCGTGGTATGCTATTGTTATTTATTTTATTGTGAGTGTTATCGTTTTCTTTCAATTACTGTCTGTTTAAATGAACATTACCTACCATTCGACGCTAGGCAACACTATGGATAAAATTCCAGAACAAATCAGATTTGATTAGATTCGCAAGAATGACCATTTAAATTGTTAAAAAAACTACAATTAACTATTTGTTTATACAGAGAAAAGTGAATCCATTCTCAACACTGCGTGTTCAATAGAAACACATAAATTGCAAAAAGTATTAAAAAATGTATATTTTTATGCCCTTAAAAATTATGATAAAGTTCCTGTAATGCAACATACACACAAGACTAGGTATAATTGCAAAACTTCTGTAAATTTGAAACAATATAGTTTGAGTCAAGTTTGCCCAACATTTGCAATAAAATTGTATTCCAAATTACACACTTGTATGATTGAAACTAACGAATTTCGTTTCATGTTCGCACACAAGAAATGGGTAGGTACTTATATAAAATTGGAAAAATCATCCAATCACTCAAATGAACGTATGTAAAAAATCCCAAGAAATTATATTTTATTCATTGGCTCATAAAATCTAAACCTTGACCAAGACCGTCATGCGGCTTTTAAACCGGCAGTAACTATTCTGAAGACTAGACCAACAAACCTAATTATTCCAATGAATTCAGAACAAGACAAAGTCCTAGTAGACGAAGGGCGGCGAAAATCGAGGACGAGAAACTGGTAGTCATTGAAAAGAAAATGCAAATCTAATCGAAAGTTTCATAGGTCATCTCGTGAGAGAATTGGGGTGGCGACTTCCCTATATTTAAGTTTTCAATTGTTCTGTGTACATGCTCATTAATTTCAAATTTAGGGAAGGCGCAAAAGTGAAGTCAGTTCGTCTGGCCAAATTAGTCTGAAAATAACATCAAGGAAAGTCAATATCAAAAGTATAAGACTAAGTGATTTGAAAGGGCACATACATGTGGCTTCACATTTTTTTTACATCTGAGTGGTAATAGCTGATTGTATTGGATGTTTGTGTCAACATGCACACAGTATACAATCACTTTACAATTGATAATTATTTTATAATTGGCACCATTAGGTAACAGATGAATGTTTCCAATGCTAAACTTGTGTTACTCTTCATGCAATTGTCTCATTTTGTTTCTATTTCGTCACAGTCCTGAGTCATCTCTAGGTCATCTGCATAGTGCCAATCAAGATTGGTGCGTCATAATTCATGAATGTTAATTACATGTGCATTTTTTTCTCTTTTCAGGTATCAATCATAATTTTCATTATTAGTACCTATGTATTCATAGTCCAGCTTGTATTTCGGAGATTTTTATTTAGCCAATTCACGACAGCTACGCAATTATCGACAAAGATCCGGGTTGCATGCAGTAAACGATAGAGGAATTTCGATTATTTTTACAAAGTAATGTCAAGTTGGTTCGTAATAAGTTGCGAAATAATATATGAAACAAAAGCGACTCCAAATATCTAATTAATGTAAAGGAAATGACGTAGATGCTGACGAAATCGCACGATGTATTTTGAACTAAGAAATATCTGATGGAAAAACGAGCATGTCATAACAAATGGCCTTGGACTAATACTGATTAGGTTGGACCACGCGTATGCGGAAAAAACACAGCTTAGATTCTAATTTACTTGGTTTTAATGGCTTCTTGAGAATTTAATTAAGTTATAGGTTTGTCATGGATTTTCTGTTAAGGAAATGAGCTGTGAATGCTCTCATCCATGCTATTTCGAATTGTGCAATAAGTTTATAAAACACTGACACGTCGGAAAATCTTGCAAACTTTTGTAACCACTTTTTTTTCTATACTGGGCGAAAAAAGAAAGAATGTGTTTGCTTTATAAGTAATATCACTTTAATCAGTCAAATGGTTTCATCAAAAAAAGTGCAGGTGTCTAATCTCGTTCATACATAATTCCGTAAAAAAACTACTGAACTACTGGTATCTTATAATCTATCGAAAACGTACCTTACCTAACTTAAACCAACCATTGAACAGTCGAACCTTGATTCAAGGTGAGGATTAAAATTAATGTGGCGATTGCAAAACGCTTATTTTTTGTGGGTTGGCCAAATTTGGCTTACTCCGACCGTTCGTTCTAAAAATACCAAGGTTAATCGAATGTACGGATTCGGTTGTCGAAAAATTCGATCGAATCAAATGTGTGGCTCTTCTACCTTCATCGGTATATATATAAACAATAAATAAATAAACGCAATGTGTTCACACAAAATAACTTTTATTGGCAACTTGCTACCGACTGTACCGACGATTATTCAAAAACTGGCCTCGTCTAGTTTCTTTCCAATGGACCTCCCTGTCTCCTGTTTCGCTCGGCTATCCTATATGCATCGTTACCAATTTTTGGAAATCGTGGTTCGGCTTATCAGCGGAATGGTAACATATATTTTTTTCTAAATTATACTAAAAAATTTCGAAAGTCCACAGGGAGCAAATCTACCCCGGTTACGGGATCTTTTGTTGTTCTACACTTCCTCTCTGTAGTAAGTTTTAAATTCAATTTTCTTCTGCTGTCAGTTTGTCGTCTTTAGCTTTAGCTATACTTAAGTATACATTGCAAATATTTTTTTAAGTTTAAAGGGCAACACCGTACTCTTGTATTAACGATAAATCACTTATTGTCGGGCTTCACACATTTCAAATATATCTTTTTGGAGCAGCTTTTATACATTTCAAGGTAAGTTAAAAAATGTGTTGTAAATTGTTAATCGGACACGTCTTTTTTTATTGAGACATGCTGTTTTATTTATTAATAGCATCTTAATGGCTAACTTAACATTTAAAAAGAAGTCGATTAAAGATGGTTTTTGCGACCGTGTATGTCAATACCTAATTGGAAATCATATTTCAAAATATTGATGTATCCTGGAGAACATCCATTATAACATAACAAGCAAAGCTCGCTTATTTAAAGACTAGTGTGACACCGAAAACATTAACGCATTATAACAATTCAAAAATATAAAACTGAAAGAAGCAATGTGAACAAAAACTTGGAAGCTATAAAAATTTCAATTAGTCACTCAAATCCAAGGCAAAGAAAATTTTAACTTGATTTAATGATAATTGGAATAAGACGATTTTTTTAAACAACTACCAACGTTATACAATCGCAACGCGCCACATTAAGTAATTGTTCGAAATGACCACCAAGTATATTTTCGCAATAGTTATTCTAGACGAAAACTTAAAAAACCATTCATAGGTATTCGATCTCTTAGATCTACAAGGTTATTTTATATATTTATGCAAACCTTGGATTTTAAATAACCCCACCAGAAATAATCTAGTGGCGTTAAGTCAGGCGATCTGGCTGGCCATTCAATTGTTCCGCGTCTTCCGATTTACATGTTTCGAAACATAGCATAACGAATAATACCATAAAACATCATTTTTCTGCCAAATGATTTTATTAGGGAAATATGAATGTTTTTTTTTTTAATTCAGCGCAAACATAAAAATCCGTCAAAAAAAATTATAAACAGGACTAAAATTAAAAATAATCAGATTATTTCAATTAACTACTGTATGGAGAAAAAAATCAGTTACCAGTTTCAATTGAAGAAATTGTTAGCAAATTGTTAACCTTTATTTTTTTTCGCATTACTGACGTAATGCTGGGCGTACAAAGGCAAATGTTTCGTGATGTAAATTAGGATTACACAACGTATGCAAAGGCACGATCTAACAACTGCATTGCTACCTTGATAATTCGCAATTATTCGAACATTTTAAGCATTCTGTAGCGCCTAAAGATCATAGCTAGAAGGGCAAACTATAAATAAATTTGAAAACAATTATTACACATAAATCAGTGCTGCTGAATGTAGAGGGTCATTTTGTGAGCAGCCAAGAAGGTATGGTCTGAAGGCAAATAGTAGGTTCTGTTTCCATTGAACTGGATTAAATGCTAATAAGTTTTAAGAATTGGCCAATTCCGCTGCTACCTACAGGAGCATTCTTACTACAGCCCACAAACTTAACGCTTAGCTTATCTGTTCTTCAACTTTTGACTGTGAATATTCTCGCAGTCGCTGATCCGATTTGAGTAATTATTTCATCGAATCATAGCCCTATTTTCGACAAAAGTTGTAATATAAGCAAAAACATAAATAAGGTATTGTACAGGGTTAAATAAAGGTAATGCGGACTATTTAAACAATAGTGTCATGTTTTCTTGGTCAAAGTTTTGACGGGCAATATCGGATAGGTCAGATAAAAAAATATTTTATGGCCTCATGTCGTCTGAGTAATTTTGATCTTGTGTTTAATAGTCGGTAAAATCGTGTGTTTAGCTTGAACCAGTCGAGAGATATTCATTTTTTGAATTACTGGTCGAGTTTTTGGCTGATATGAATGATAAAATCAAAACAATACCTTTAGGCGTGAACACAATAATACACAAAGGATGTAGGAATGTTTAGAGAAAGGAATAACTTTACAACTTAATTAACAGCACATAGAGGGAAAGGGACAGGGCTATCAACTTAACGTACTGTAATTTCTTTGACAAATAAAATTTGACCGGTAATAAAAAAATTTATATCTCTCGATTGAAGATGATAAATTCAAGAAAACAAATAAAAAGTTATATATACAACATCCAATAGTCAATGTGAGAAACATCAAATTAGGCGAAGACTTCTTCACCTTGCAATTTTCCACTCGTGAAAAATGATTTATTACCGTTAATTATTAATGATTTAAATTGCTGCGCTTCTTAGGAGTTAAGTTGAAGCTGTCACTTCAATACGCCTGAGTAATATAAACAATGATGGAAACATAGCACAAATGATTCCCATGCAGACTATTAACAATAATTAACACGGATTAGTCCCTGACATCGAAATACTACAAATTGATATTTTATTTTTTATTAAAACAAAATTGCCCAACGTTTAAGTGTGATGTAACGCCGTGCAATTGTCAAGGTAAATGTTTTTACAGAGCTCAATACAAAAGAATGATTTGTTAAACGGTTATTGGTGGGTAGGTACTCACTGTAGTAGTACGCGGTATAAGGTTGTAATTATATGTTTCAGTTGCTAAAATGCCGATGGGAATGCCGGATAATCCTGTTCATGTAGGCGCAGAATTATGATCTTACTCGTAAAAATATGTTCAACAAATAAACCTGAAATTTCTGTAATCATTTCCATAGTGGTATTTCCTGATTTGAACACGAATACTCATCATACAAATGCATTACAGCAGATACACTATTTTTAATAAGATTACTAATGTACATCTTAAAACGGCCACTCGTATGTTATACCACCTACAGAATAATAGGAATTTCATTACATATATTAATACACCTTAAATGGCGCGCTTAATAATAATTATAACGAGAGCTGAAAGGCCAATCCTTCTACATTTCGAAATAGATCTTTCACAAACAGGTTGAAAAACCGACCATACGATGCGATTTCCTAACAGCTAACTCAGCGTATTGTTTGCAAAATAAAAGTAATTTACAATCACTTATTAGTGTTTGTACAATCTGGTGTGTTTTAGTACGGTTCTAAATCCTTGGATTGCCAAGAGTCAAAAGTGTTTTTCAAAAGCATAATATTTCAAATGTTTTATATTTTTATCGGCTTACATTGAAACTGGAATTTTCTCAAAGTTTTATCGACCTTAGGCACAGAATGTGATAGGTTTAAAAGCTGTTAAGTTGACGAAAGGAAAAACGCTCTTTGCTTTTTAACTAATTACAAAATGTCAATTACAATTTAGTCGGATTTTTAGTGTTGCACATACAGTAGCAATGTTTAATAATCACAACGTTTTGATTAGTAGAATCTTGACTTCTACTAGCAACTAAAGTGCTCAACAACAAAATTAACGTTGCAGTGACAAACTTGAACCAACTTGTGTGTTTTTACAAAAAAATTGTGCGTCAGATAAATTTTCTACAGGGTGGCAAATAAAACATTAGAAAATTCATTAAAGCTTCAAATGCTCTCAGTTTGACAAAAAACATGTTTTTTTTCAAATTTTTTAATGTGCATTAAGATGGACCTGGTATCTCAAAAAAGTTTCAGAATTTTTCGCGTACATCGTTTATTTACAGGGTGGTCTCAACAAAATTAACTTGTTGGTTTGTAGTGATTTTTTTTCTCTTGAATCGATTCTCGAAATTTAGGACTCACGTTGAAGCTAAAACTTGGCAGTCGACTTCAGAAAATAGATCAATATACGGTGAATAAATTCATAAATAAACGAAATATTTGAAAGTAGACGTCAGTTATTTGAAAATTTTCCAGAATCGCAGGTTTCCTGGACAATTCTGATTTCGGAATTTTTAGTGCAACTCTATACATCAAATTTTCGTCTTAAATTGTCTATGCAGTTTTAGCTTCAACATCTAGAGTTCACTAAAAAACCGTTTCGAGCTATTTAGTTGGGCTCTAAGCTTTTGGTGTTAAAGCTCTAAGTTTTTACTAACTAACCCAAATTTAACAGTTTTTTAAATTTTTGTACTATCCTTATTTTTAAACATTTACTAACAGAAAACAATCCAGGGCATCCAGTATCTTGAGTATTCAGAATATATTCAAGATTTTGTATTTTGATCTATATGTCCAAATTGTAACGCCGTATTTTAAAATAATACTGATTTAATTTAAAAGCTCCCTATTGAAGTGTTGTCAATTGTTATAAAAGATACTTACTTTTGAACTGTCAGAAATAACTCAAGTTATGATCAATCATGTGAAACAAAGATTCATGCTAGAATAATATGTTCTGATGACGAAAATGTGTTAACCGTGTCTCTGTTTCTATTCCAGATCGTGTCCAGAGACAATCACTCGCTAATATCTGCTCATTACCGAATGGATTCGCAACCACTGATTCAATCGCTACATGAAGTGGTAGTTGGTCAGCGCTATTTGTACCTGGTGTTTCCAAAAGCACATGGCGATTTGCATTCGTATGTACGGCAAAGAAAACGTCTTCGTGAAAGCGAAGCACGTAGACTATTTCGACAAATCGCGGAAACGGTACGGTTGTGTCATGAGAATGGAATCGTACTCAGGGATCTGAAGCTGAGGAAGTTCGTTTTTGCTAATCCCGAAAAGTAAGTACCATTTTTCAGATGTAGAGCTTGAGTATTTCGTGTATGCGGGTAGTAGGAATGGAAAAACCTGCAAATGACCAAATAGCTTTGGTCATTTGCAGAGTTTTTGTGGGATGTATGGTCAATTTTTTTCAGGCAACGTTGTTCTTCATTCTCAAAATTTTGCAATATAAAAATATATTTTTTACTTACCTACTTGTAATCGTCACTTCCATCAGGACTCATACATGTTGGGGTTCCGGATTCTGTATTTCTTTACATTGCAGTCGTGTTCGGATTCAACAAGAAATGCTCTGAAAAAAATGCCCGTATAAATTTTTATTTTCAAAAACCGAATAGAAAATATATGTATGGAGAAACGAAGTAAGCTGAAAAGTATACAGGATGTAACTAATTATTGTCACAGATTATTTCTTAAGATTTCGAGTTAAATGTTTCGCTTTCGAGCTTGCATATCAATGTTTGTTGATGCGGACTTGGACATTTGACATTGTTTATAGTTTCTTTAAAATAAAAAAAATAAAAATTTCTTTAATTATTATTCGAGTATAATACACATCCGTGTAAGGCGACAGAATAAGTATTCTGAAAAAACCATTACTTGTAAAAGGTTATAGTCGGCGTATAGTTTAACTTTTTTTATAATTCACCATAAATCTCTCTCAAAACCTGTATTATTTTCTGATTCCAGGTATCAGTTTCATTGGTAAATTTGAAAATAAAATGAGTTTCAACTGCTTGCTAATTGGAAATGAAAAATCCTCAATTTTTGTACTGAATTGATGCACACTCGGCATTGCCAGTGTTGGAAAAGTTCTAAGAAGAAAAAAGATTTTACGAAACAACACAACAGTTTTATTCAACATACTTAAGTAAAACTGATAAATATAAAAACTGTAAATAGACACCATAATAAATCAATATGATGGAGAGAAAACTACCTGAATCAGGTTCAAAACCAACATGAAATGTATTACATACAGGATAGAATAGGTATAAATCCCATCCGCTTCCGTTCGAAAAGTAATATTGAAGATAAGTAAAGTTCAATATATATCCACTTCTGCCGGAAGTTGCCAAAATAAAATCGATATCCCAGCTGTGCAGATAGAATGTAAAGTTGCAGGCGGAAACCGGCATCCTCTTTGTTACTTTAATTCGATTCCGATGGAAATTATAGCTGAAGGATCGAAGTTTGATTTTAACGAGGTATAGTATCTATTGGAAATCAACAGGAAATGGGGTTGCCCTTTCCGTTAACAAATCTTAATCAATAACGGTTTATTTTTGTGTTTTATACTATTTGATGCCTTTTTTCGGTGATTGACATTACCATGTGCAAAAATCGAAGAGTTTAATGACTTTGACTGTATTAAACCCGCATTAGCTGCTTCGTCTATGAATCGTCTATAAAAGTCTGAAACAGGCAATTTAAAAGTTTTTTTTGATTTGTCGGAATTATTGATTCTAAGAGCGAGAAAATTAATGAGTGTAAGTACTGTAATAGTGCCTTTTTGGCAGCGATCTTAGAAGTTTTATTTTTCTGTCATCAGCCCTGCAAAATTCTTCCTTCCTTTATCATGCCTTCTAAATATATGGCAAATTTCATTGATCTTTTAACTGTTATTAGTGTTTTCACGAGCTATGCCGTTTATTATGTGTGCCCAAAGCGGCGACTATTTTTGTCTAAACTATAAAATAAATTGAAAATATCAATTTCGTAATAGATTTGGCCTTGCCACTGAACAGCTTAGTAGACAGAACGAATCCGTCGTAATAACTTAACGTCCACGTGAACCGACACTCGTCACATTTGAGAAAACACGTTTTGTATTTATCATTCATTTATAGTGGTTCATCAGAACATCTTATTCAGATGTAAATGAAGTAGTAGTAGTAACACAAAGAAAATTTATTTTGTTAATGTCAGTGTTGTTGATGTCTCATGTTTTGATAGTCTATTAATGTGTTTTTTTTTAAATGTTTCGTTAAGATTTATTTTCTTTGGGGCATGTTCTTCATGCATCTAAACGTTCGTAAAGCGCTTTTTATCTGACTAGTAACCGTTCGAAGTTGAAGTGAACAAGAACTTTCATACAAATTTCAACTCGGTTTTTCAACCATTTCATAGTGATACTGGATATTATTACTAAGCTTTGCACTGATCAAAAATCTAGAACAATATTACCATCTTGACTGTGCCATTTTTAAATAAATTACATGCTGTTTAAACCACCCATAGAAAAGTCACGAAAGTGCTCGCTTCTCTCCAAGCACTTATTTTGAGTAATTTTATATCAATTTCCTGTTAATTAAACACGTTAGATTTAAACATGTAAGGAGTGTCCGTGCGTTTAAACCATTAATAATGCTAGCGAGTTTATTAATAAAGCATTTGCATATTTTCGAAACGATGTAAGAGAGCTCCTCTCCCAAGTGGGTAGGAAAAATTGATTTTATTTTGGGTGAGCCCATTTTTAGATGTTTTATCAAACGCATTTTGTTTTGTTATAATTACAGATTAGTTTTCTTAAGCACGAATATTCATTCACAACGCTTTTAAAAACACTAGCGACGAATAAAAACCAGAGAGCATTTCGAATCAATGAACGAAAAGGTATCTACTATTTTTTGTCGTTAGATCACTTTTGTGATATTAATTCTTTAAATTATTTAGTTCTTAGTTAATCGATTTGTATTAAAATCCTTCCCTTCTGCTGCAATTGCTGTYTGCTCAAAACCTTAATGGAAAGTTTTGGGTTGTGTATCCTTAAATGTACATAATTATGTATTTGTTAAAATTTTTGTTTTCCAAATACTTACATGGGTTTTTCATTGAGCTATAATCATCAAAAATATGTGTTTAATATTTATAGATCCTGAAGAAAATTCAGTACTGAAGAATATACATGTACCTATGTAYATCAACTTTATTATTTATGTGCCAACTCATTATGTTATGAAAAAAAAATCACTGAAACAATCAAGTTACAAAATATTCTGAAAACAAAAGCATATTTTCGTGTGTTGCTCAAATCGATATTTTGCTACATACGAGCAACAATGACAACGTCGGGTTGCTAAATCCGATTTGGTAACGCTAAATTACAATTATCGTGTTCGTTTCAGGGATATTTGTAACGTTTAAGAGGATTACTTTGTTGGAAATGTGCAAATGTGATGGTGCAAGGCGTCGGTTTCTTCTACTATAGAATCAGATTGCTGAGATGTACAAGACGTATGTTGTCATTATTAGTGTGGATTATCTATCCTAAATTATGCAAAATATTTAAC